CTCTTGTTCTCTTGTTTAAACTTGCATCACAAAAGAGCATTTAGAAAGGCTGACATATGCGTTACAATTCAGTGTTTTTTACCAGCTTGTTTGGAGAAGGAAGCTTGATGCTTGATGGCTTTCACTGCTGCCCAGCACTGTGATCCCACTTGAAACAGGTGGGAAGTGTCTTCCTTTCAGAAGATTCCATCAAAGTGAACTTTACCCACCCACTCCTCTCCCTCCTTCCTCCCCACCCTCCATTTTTTTTTTCTGGAAGTGACAGAAGGCTGAACCTCTCACATTTGTCCAAAATACTTTTTAAAATATACTTTGCAAAGGAGAATACATTATTCTTCTTCAGCTCTTCATCGGCGAATCAAGAAATCTGTTATCTCCAAAGTAAGAAGTAAAATTCTCCTATAGTTCTGTAATGGCTTCTGTCTTAATAGTAGCTTGTTTCTGTCTTTAGCCTTTTATTTAATGTCATTATACTAATTGTCTTCATCTTCTGCCATTTTAGGAAGAGATACAAAAGAAACGCACGCGTCGCGCTGTGAAGTTTCAGAGAGCCATCACTGGTGCATCTTTAGCTGAGATTATGGCTAAGCGAAATCAGAAGCCTGAAGTACGAAAGGCACAGAGGGAACAAGCTATTAGGTGAGAAATCACAGATAAGTGGAGCTATCCCAGCCTTTTCAAAGATTATTAATGTTTTTCATACAAGAGCTATACCGTAGGTGAACTCCATGTTTTAGAACTTTTCTTGTGGCTTGTTTGAGGTTTTGTTTGTTTGTTTTTCAATAAATATATGTGGAGGTAATGCTGAGTAGTCTCAGCAGGAAATAGTAGCAGCAGAGAAGGGTCTCTTCTTGCCCTCTCACTTTGCGAAAATACCACTTTATTTAAACCACGACAGTCACATTTTTGCTGTCTCTGCACCCTAGAGGGTAGTGAATGCAGAGGATAAACCTGATTTAATGCATTTCTTGATCCTGGGGAGTTCACACAGTGCTGAGACAATGAAACAGTGACTGCCATACATGGACAGTTGTCATCATTTTCTGTCCATTGACAGGGCTGCAAAAGAAGCCAAGAAGGCCAAGCAAGCAACCAAGAAAACTGCTGTTTCTGCTGCAAAGGTAAGATGCAATAGGTGGACTGAAATCATGAAACCAAACGGGCTGTGTTGTTACACAACAGTCTGGTGCAGCACTTAACTGGAAATGTCCGTTTGTGTTTGGAAGAAGCATTTGTTCATCTGTTTTGACCTGGAAGCGTTTCGACCAAACTTTTGTACTGTAGTTAAACGTAGCTAAAACAGCTTAATAGAGCGAACCTTTTCTACAGAATAAGTAAATATTATAGCAAAAATAAAATTTACCATATGCGAGAGATTTTTGATAGCTACAATCTTGTCTGGAAGTGATGTCTTCACTGTATAGGAGCTTGATAACAATAATATTGATAAAAGCTAGCATCTATTTCAGTCTTACTTATTAATTAATACCTTATGTTGGCATTATACATGCTGTAAGCTTAGTGGTATGTGTGTAACCATCTGTTAACAGGATTATAATCCGGTAAATGGTAATTCTGACCTGATTTGATTTAAATTATTAAATCTGTCAAGAATCTTGAAATACACAGGGACACTTATGGGACTGCCGGTAAATTGCTTCTCTTTCTCTTTTTTTACAACAGGCTCCTACAAAGGCAGCACCTAAGCAGAAGATTGTGAAACCAGTGAAGGTTTCTGCTCCCCGTGTTGGTGGAAAGCGCTAATTTGCTGAACTGTTAGTCATGCTGAATAAATATCTGATTAACATTCGTTAACTTGTGCCATGTCGTCTTCAACTGTGTGAGATACACTGAAGAGAATTCATGTGTGATACACCCATGTCTGGTTTTGCAGACTGGAAAACATGTTACAATAAAACACCTGGGGTTTAGACAATGTGCTGTATCAGCGCATGTTTCTTAAGTCTTCCATGAATAACTCAGATGGCAGGGAAGGTAGAGCTGATGTGTGAGAAGCTGTTCTTGCCTGCAGGACAAAATGGCACATAAGTACAAGTTAATCTTCATCTATGACAAATGGCATAAAAAGTGGTTTCTGAGCGCAGAGATGCCAACTAAATGGGACATGAAGCAGTACCATCTATGACTGGAGAAGGTTAACACATTTGTGAAACACATGTAGCAAGATAGGGAGGGTGTTGGAGAAGGACTAGGCTGAAAAAGGGAAATTGGTGGCTTCACAGACTGCATGGCTGTTACGTGCAAAGGTTCAGATGCAGCTCCTGGGGCAGGAAGTAACAAAATGATTGCTTGCTGGAGGCTGTTGTCAGGAAGGTGACATCTGTGAAGGCTGAATGAGCTTTGAATGCAGTGGATGGTATACAATTCAAGCCCATTTAGGTTCATATTTAACTTTGTGAATGCAGACAGGGCTTGCCTTAGTAATTCCCCACCCTTAGGGGGAGTGGGCATTTCTTCCATTTTTCACATAAAGCATGTATCTCTGCTTTAGTATTTACACTAGTTAGTGTGCCCAGGCTTTGCTGTAGTTCTGATGCACAGTAATTACTGTGGTACAGCAGCATCCTCTGACTTAACTGGAAGCAAAGGGAAAACAAACCTCTATTTTTCGGATCAGCTACTTCTGAATTTATTGATGCATATCTTAGTGCCTCTTGGCTTTAAAGAGCTTTAGGGCTTGCTTTGTTCTCTTCCTACAATAGTCAAGAAAGCAGCTGACTGATTCATATTTTTGCTTCCTGTACCTTTAGGCTTTAGAAACAATGGGTTTGGATTATGGGTTCTATTGAGTTATATCATACTTTGTTTTGGGTTTATTAATAAAATGGATCTGGCTCTGGATGAAGGTTGCAACCCATTTAAAATGGGCTGAGTTTGATTACATTAGTGGCATTTGCACCATTATCTTCCAAACAATTACGCTTTTTGCTGTTTGAAAAAAAAAAAAGCTATTCATGCTATTCATGTTCAGAATTAAATTGAAAGCTTTTAAACTTTAAACTTGAGGTGGAAAGAAGGGAAGGAAAATTGCTCATTGTAGGGAAATTAATGTTTAATCATTTAAATAATTTTTAATAATTTAAAACTGAAGACTAAAAACTGAAAGTTACCTATCCTGGTGACAATTATATAAAATCCTGTTTGCATCAACACCTTGTATAAAACACATGATAAGTGGCATGCATGCTGAAAGGGAAGATGAGTTTTTACTAATGATCTTGAAGTACCATGAATGATATATAAGAATTCCCAGCTATGACAAATTAATAAATCAGTATATGCTAATACTTTGAGATTTGCAAGCTTTGGCTGCCTGGTGTTACTGCACATAAGTATTCTTAAGATTACTCTTCCTTGCTGTTCATGCTGACTCATATGGTGAGACAGAGTAAAGAGTAACAGCCCATAACGTTACTCCTCTCACAAGCTATGCTTCAAGAGAGTGAGACAGGCTGTTGAGAGCAGGGCATTAACCTCGTGTAACTGCACACTGTTCAGCTCAAACACAGATGTAATGCCATGAATTAACACTGAAATTAATACAGTTGTGTTTATCTAATGCAATGCAATTGATCCCCTATTAATCACAAAAAATGGAACACAAATTTTTCATAGGTGCACATAATAATTAAGCTTGCAAAGGATCTCCAGAGGTCATCTGGTCCAATGCTTTTCTCAAAGCATGTCAATTTAGATCAGGTTGCTCAGCTGAGTATCCAGCTGAGCCATGAATAACTCCAAAGACAGAGGTTCCACAACCTCTTAGGGCATCCTGTTCTAGTATTTGACAATCACCAGTTTAAAACTAGAGATAAAAACCCCTTAATTTCACGTGTTCTAACCTGTGCCTGTTGACAACAGCTATGTAACTGTGACAAGAATTTGCTTCCACCATCTCTGTAACCTCTGGTGATGTAGCTGTGGACAGCAGCAAGGTCGTCACAAAACCTTCCCTTTTTAAGGCTGAAAAGGCCTGTCTCTCAGCCTCTCTTCATCCCTCGTGCTCTCATCCCTGATAGCCTTTGTACCTTCTGATGGAGTCGCTCCATCCAGTCAGTATCTGTGTACTTGCGGGGGGATTGCAGTACTCCAGAAACCGTCTTGCAAGTACTAAGCACAGAGTCACTGCTGGCTATGCTTCTGGGTGGGTGCAGGCATCCTGTAATTCATGTCTCTCATTGCGGGTGTAAACAAAATCAGGTTGGAATTTGGACAAGGAAAAACAGCAGGTACTCAAAAAGGAGCATACTCGATGCACCGAGATGTACTGCTGTGGCACTCTGCCCATGCTCATGCAGCTGTCACCCGTTGTGCTGCTCCTGAGAAGAGTGCTCATACTACAACGTAAAATCACTCTGATTTTCCCGTCTCTCGTACTCCCAACGCGATTTTGAATCTGCTTGTTTCGGAGCTAGCGCTATAGAAGTATTCACTTAATTGCCCTAGCTCCTGATACCATAGCCATGCCCGCTCTCACAGGTTTTGCCCAGCTCTAAGATGGCCGCCCCTAAGCCTTCCGCCCGGCCTTCTCCTTTTCCCGGTCCCAAGATGGCGGCTTCGTTCCCCCTACCAGCTGCTCCTTCCCTGAGCTCCCGCCCCTTCCCATACACGCGGGATTCTGACCTCACTTCCTGTTGTGCAGCAGCCATTTTGTCTTTCCGTTGCTGCTGCTGCCCGGGCTTCTCACTCCTACCCGCCGCCGCGGGCTGCGAAACTCCAGTTCCTCCCCCCCCGGGCCCGGCTCCTGCCGGACCGGCCTCCCGGCGCCTGGGCGAGGGTCCCGCGGAGGCGCAGGAGGCCCCGATCCTCCGTTCCCTCGGCAGCGCATGATCTTCCCTGCCTCGGGAGACGACCCCGCAGCCCCGCGGAACCCCCGGCGAGTGCCGGCGCTTCTTCCCCTCCACAGGCCCCCCCGCTTGTGAGTGACAGGGGCGCGCCCTGTCCCGTGTGGAGACGCTGCCCCGCAGCCACCTCCGCCCTGGGGGCGAGTGCCTGACCCACCCGCCCAGAGCGCCTTGCCCGTGCCTGGCGGTCAGCGGGAAAACCGGCGCTGAGGTTGCCCCTTTCACTCCCCTGTCCCTGTCTCCCCCTGCCCAGCCATGTCCAGCGAGGAGAGCTACCTGGCCATACTCCGGTACCTGACCAACGAACGGGAACCCTACGCGCCGGGCACGGAGGGCAACGCCAAGCGCAAGATCCGTAAGGCGGCCGCCTGCTACGTGGTGCGCAGCGGGACCTTGTACTACCAGCGGCGGCAGCGGGACCAGCAGCGCTTCACCGAGCTCGAGGTGGTGCTGCAGGCCGAGCGTCGCGCTCGCCTCATCCGCGCCGCGCACCTGGCGCCCGACGGCTCCCACCGCACCCGCCTGCAGACCTGGCAGGGGCTCTCGCAGAAGTACTGGTGGCGAGGTGAGCGGTGGGGGGAGTCCAGCAGAGGCCGGGAGAGGCGGCTGGTGGAACCAGGGTTACTAGGCGCCGGGCTTGTGGAGAGGGATGTCTGAGTGCGCTCCCTATAGGGGACTGTCGCTGTTTGGTGTCTTGAAACGCCTCGTGGTCTGTTGGCTGCGACTGCGAGTCACTCCTAAACAGGAAGGCCTCGCCTCTCTGTATAAATTACACCTTGGTCAGCACATTGTCCTGTGGCTTCTTACTTAGCAGTTTAACTAGGGTGACCTAGTTAATTGAGCTTTTAACCTCGTAATACCTTCTTCCGCTACCGTGTGGATGCTGTGCACGTTTAAATAGCAGGGCATCCAGTGGTGGTTTGTAGCCCTGGCTCTTGTTATATTTGTCGCTTTAGTCCAATGAGAAGCTGAAAAGACAAGACTAATTCTCAGTTGGTACCTGAGCTGTTAGAAATAGTAGTATATGAACAGCAACAATTCCCAATCGGGGCCGTCTTTTGGCTGAGCCAGTGACTTGGTATCTGTATTCCCTGTGGATGTGATGTTCTGCTTTTAGTCTTGTGTATCCATTAAACAAATATCCTGCGTTTCAGTTGCTCGGGGCCCAGTTTCTGTTTGTACTGCTTCTCTTGTTCTGCTTTTTTTTTTTTTTCATCCATCAGTCAGCAAGTCTGTCATTTCAGCTTTAGTTTTAACTATCTTAATTTGAAAGCTTTTTGGTTTAGCTGCAGCCCATCTTTCCTATGCAGATCTCATTGACTTGAAAATCTTCAATTTGAAAAAAGAATTTGGTGTCTGAAAGATATCCATTCTGAATGGTGGCCTCCTTACCTTTATCTGGGTTCTTACTGTCTGCCTAGTATTGGGCTGTTCTAGCATCTACTGTTATCCTGTGCTGGAAAATTCCTAAATGGACCTTGGTATATCTTTTAATCAGAAGAGGGCATTCCATATTCTATATTCTTCATCTTGTGATCTTATTGGCTACCTTTGTTTGCACAACCTGTAGTCTCTTATTTCTCTTGCACTGAAAATACTAAAATTCATTGCCTGCTTTCCGTTCAAATGTTACATTTCTTATCTGTCTCTCATATTAAACACTGATTTGTCTTGCCGTTATAATACTCTTCTGCTACTACTGGACAGTAGCTTGGACCCAGTTATCATCCTGAGATGAATGCCAGTCTGTTGTGTCTGTCTGCCCTGTAATTGGGAAGCAGTGGGCTGGAGTGTGACTCTGTGGCCAGGAAGGGTGTTGAATATGTAAAGACTAGAGATCTTCTGTCCCGAGAACTAGTCCCGGTTTCAGATAAAATCAAAGAAACATAAAAGTGTTTGAAATGGCCATGAATGTCTCTTGGGTTGGAATATCTTATGTTGCCTGAAGTCTGCATTTTCCTGATCCTTATAGAGACATGTATGTAACGATAGTGCATTTCATGCTCTGAAAAGATGTGAGCAGGGCAGCTTTAACTCTGTATGTCAGCCAGGTTTTAGGGCTATGCCACATTTTGAACTACAGAGGCACAGCTGTTGTTATGTATGCTTTTATATTATCCTAGCGAAAAAAAAAAAAGAAAGAATTTGGATTGAAAGCCATACACTAAAAATGCTTTGGTACCTAGAAGAGGACCCTGATCTTAAGAACTATTGAGTATCTAAAATTATTTAGTTTCTCCAGCTAAAGTACTCGTGGGAAATTAATATATTTAAATCCTAAAATCATAAGCAAGCGATTTAAATTGGTGTTAATAATACGTATAATTGCATACAACACAGTTTATTCTAATTTTACAAAAGCCTTTAGGTGAGCCTTCCAGTTCTTGTCCCCTTCAGTAAGGACAAGCTGAGGTACACTTGTGTTGACTAAATGCAGGACTAGGTTACAGCTTTCATTGCCTTGGGATTCTTAGGGTGAATGTGTAAATACAAGTATTTTTTTGAGCCTTAAAATTCTAAGAGTCTGCTTGATACACTGATGTTTTAAATGTCCTATCTGAAACTAACGATGGATTACAGTAGTGACATGCAATAACATACAATGGTGTGAGAGAAGCAAAACTGGTAAAAAGTCAGAGAAGGAGAAGGGTAGGTGACTGATCTGGTTTTTCTCAGTAAGTGTGTAGTACTGTTTTGCTAATCACATATTTAATTTTATGTTTAAGGTAAACGAATGAAAACCAAAACTTAATTAAGCTCCATTAATTTTTCATAGGTATTCTTAAGCAGGTTAAAGATTACATTAAAGAATGCAGCAAGTGCCAGGAAAGGCTAGATCGGTCTAGATCTCTGTCAGATCCTTCTGAAATGCTGGAGGAACTAGGACTGGATGCAAAATCTCAGGAAGACAGTAACGAAACAGATGATGAATTGAGTAATGTGGCGTCAATTCCAGCTGCATCCCCAAAGCCTGTGAAGAAGAAGCCAATAGCAAAGCATGAACTTGTATTTGTAAGTACCATTGTTTACATCTGAATGTATGTAAGATGGTTGTTAATGCGTTCCTAGTCACATACTTATTTTCAATTGTTGTGATAATTTTGTAATAATAAGATGACATAAATTTTGCCAGAGATACTCAGTATGTAGGAAGGGATTACTGGTATATATGAAATTAATTACAGTATGTCACCTTTGGAAAATAAAATCACCCTGACTTCTATTGCGTATAGGACCCAAGGGAAAATGAATGGCAAAAGTAAAAGTAGTAAAGCATCACATACAAGATTCTCATGGAATCTGTATCTGTTCCTTAATAAATGATGCTATATGTATATGTACAATTCCTGTTGATAACTGGGGGTTCATATACATGTAAAGACCTTTGAATCTAGAAACAATTTCAGATTGCAGCATTGAAAATTATGGTCAAAGAACTGTTTGAGTATCCATGTTTTCCCATTTTTCCAGTTGTTTTTTAACTGTGTTTGGAGGGAGGGTAAACCTTGATGCATTTAAAGAAAGAAAATAATGGTAAAGTTAAGCTGTATATTATACAGGCTTGAAATGATTGTACGATTGCAGAAAATAAACCTTTTATGTGTTTCAGTGTGAATGCTTAAAAAGGCACAGTCGAAATGTAATTAAGTTCTCATAATGTTGTTTATGACAGGTTGACAGTAAGGGCCTTGTGAAGCAGTCATCTTCCAGACATTGTCTGTCAGTCTTAAACCAACTGAATCAGCAGAGGCTTTCCAATCAGTTCTGTGATGTGACTCTGCTGATTGAAGGAGAGGAGTACAAAGCTCACAAATCTGTCTTGGCAGCCAGCAGCGAGTACTTCCGAGAGCTCTTCATTGAAAAGGGAGCTGTCACTAGTCATGAAGCTGTAGTGGATCTGTCAGGTGAATTGTTGTGGGTTTTGAAGCTAGAAATCATAATATCCTAAGTAAGGTGTATGGTATTTGATTCAGTCTTTTTTTGAGTGTTCAAGACAGCCACATATTTTATCTTGCCTTTTTCTCTCTTTTAATCTCAAAAGTATTTTGTGTGTGTTTTAATGCTAAAGCGATTACTCTGGTTTTGCAAAATCTGATCTTCCATGTTGGATGGACATTGGGATTTCATCTTAAAATTTCTGAGAAGCTTTGAATTGATTTTTACCTTGCTTAGGTGTGTTTCCTCCTTGTATAGTCACAAACATTAAATAAGGGAACATAGTCAAATGCATGAATACATCAAGAGGGCATCTTGACTAGCTTCTTGGAGAGCTGTTTAGTTGTACAAATACTAAATTGTTTTCTGTGTCTGTGAAACACTATTATACATGTTTCTGCTTATTTCTCAGACCTTCTGGTACCTTCAAGATAGGAGACCATCCTAAAATAAATGTTCTAAAAAGAGCTTTATAGTGATGAAGAATACTGTACAGAACATATGCCTACTGCATTGCTTTTCCATTAGCTTCTTAACTGTGTCTGCATGAACAATAGACATGCATGAACAATAGATATCTAGCATGATTGTCCAAAAGGTACTCCGAATTAAATACCTGATTTACAGTTTACAGAACTGTGGAAAATTATGCCAAGTGCTTGTTTTTAAGCATGTCTATCTATAAATCCGTATCTTTATTTTTCTCATTAGTCTCTTTCTTGTCTTATTTTTCTGCCGCCCAATTGTTACTTGAGTCTTGAGTACTTTCTGAACGTAGCATGTCCAGAAAGACTTAGGTTAAATTAGGGTTATATTGTGGCTCTCCCAGCATCTTGAAACACTCTTCTAGAGAATTTATAGAACCTCCGTTCTACTTATTGGAAAAGTTGTTTAAGCTTACTTCCACATAGAAAATACACAACGAGGATGCTTTTGTGTAAATTACTATTAATTGAGTCCCAGTGGAGAGGCTTCAGTGTTACTTGCAAGGCTGTTTCGCTCTAAATTTCATCTTAACCATATCGAAGATGAATTGTTGTATCGTTCGTGGGATATTTTGATGTAATTCAGGGTCATCAGTGTTTGTTCTAATCTCTTGTTTTATTCCTTGTAGGGTTCTGCAAGTCCAGTTTCCTGCCTCTTTTGGAATTTGCTTATACTTCAGAACTAACCTTTGACTTCTGTAGTATGGCAGAAGTCGCCATGCTTGCCCGGCACCTATTCATGTCAGAAGTCCTCGAAATTTGTGAAAACGTGCACAAACAGATGGAAGAGAAGCAAATTACAGTGTACCAAAAGGGAGATATTCAAACAGTAGAGTCAATGCAAAATTTAGCAGAGCACACTGAAGTTGAAATGCAGCCCGTGGACAGTGCTGAGCAACCTGAGCTCACAGCCAGTGGGGTGCCAGTAGCTGTGAACAGAGCTTATTCCCCTGCTGGGACAGAGAAGGCAGCAGCACCCCAGCCTGACCTCCTGCCCCCAGACCCTGCAAAGGCCACTCCAGATGATCTTCCAAAGCCTGTGGAGCAGTGTGAAACACCTGAAAATTATGTCAAGATACAGCTGCTGGAGAGCATTGCAAACAGCGCCGTGTCTGTTGTAGAGGTGGAGCCATTGGCTGCGGAAGTCATGGACACACAAAGTCAAATGGAAATCGAGACAGATCAAAATGAAAGTGGTAAAGCAAATGTGGCTTCTGAAGACTCCTCAGAAACACTCAAGCAGACATGTGGCAGTCAAAGCAAAGAGCAGAGCATCTCAGATTTGCAACCAGAAAGCCAAGATGATACTTACAAAAGCAAGCTACGTCAGCGTTCTGTTAGTGAAGGGGGCTATATCAGATTGCATAAAGGAATTGAAAAGAAACTCCAGAATAGAAAGGCAAATCCTAAATCTGCAATACAGCAGGTATTCTGTCTGTTTTCAGGCCTTTGTTTCAAAACCAGTCTGAAAGGACTTTGCTGTTTCCAGGCACTGTCTGGGAAATGTTTTTCTTTATTGAGCAATTATCATTACTAAAAAACTAAAGTAACTTCCAAGATGTGACAGTTTTGCAAAACAAGAAGAACCCTAAACCAGACCAAACATTGGCGCCAAAATTCTTTCCATATTAAAAATCTTTAGAATGCTTAGTGACCTTAGCCCAGCTTCAGTATTTTCCCACAGTTTGGTTGGACAGAAGGTGTATCTTCTCCCTAAAATTCTTCAATGATTTGGAAATTTAATTCTTAATTAGCATGTGCGTATGTCAGTTGTAGACAAATGTATTTACCTATTAGAAAAATGAGGCCTATTAGAAAAATAGACCTGTGAGTTCTATTAAGACTTGAAAACAGAGCATTGGGAATGAAAAATGGGACATCCTAATTAGATCTTAAAACATAGCTATGAGTCACATTAATGTAGTCCTTTGGATTGTGGTCAGTTAAAAAACGTTCAGTGAGCACTGATATTAGAAACTCTAGCACTTGGACATATTAAGTGTTTAGTAATTGAACTAGTTTTTTTCTGGGGGGAAGAAGGGTGGGTTTGTTGTTAATTTGGGGGTTTTTAAATTAAGTGGTGGTCTTAGTCTTTTCCTTTCAGGAGTTTTTCCTTTTCTAGTGCCAATGAGCAGCTGACATCTCACTGAGCGTTAACACATCCACTTTTGTGACAGTGCCTTTTGTCTTACTGCATGTCAGCTGAATTTCTAAATCTGAAGTGTTAATTTCCAGGGGTGTTCTGTGAGACACTTACATACTAGAGCCACTAGTCCCCACCAGGGGGATAGTTCTTTATCATTACAACAGCCTTGTGAATATAAATTGTAGCATTAGTCTACTTTCACAGATGGACAAGTTAAAACCCAGATGTTAAAATGAGCACAAGCAAAATAGTTGAGCGACCTATATCCAATGGTTGGAGAAGGATGAAGTTTTTTCCTGTTTTGGGAGAGGGAATGTCTACCTTAACCTCCTGTTAACTTTGCGGTTTTTAAATCTGACCGCTCGACAGATGAGGTCTGCAGACAGTGGCTGCCTATGAAAAAAAAAAGAAATTGATTTACCTAATTGCTCAAAATTAGGAACTTGGGACTAGGTTTCTGCTTTCCTAACTTATTTTATAGCTCTTAACATTTTTGTCTCATGTAGCCCTCAACTTCCCCTCCATGGCGCTGGATGTCATATAAGTACTGGGAGATGCTCCCAGTTTTGGTGCTGGGAGAATAACAGGAAAGAGGCTGTAGGAAAAATGCTGCTAACTTCTGAATTATAGTAATTGCAGTTGGCATGGAGATATTTGGGATGAAATATGCTTTGTATGAACAGATTATTTTCCAAGCTCTTACTAATCATCTAGTAAAAAAAAACTTATTCTGCGGCTTCACAATTTAGCAAGTTTGTATCAGTTTTCAGAGCAACAGCAAAATTAAAGAAATTAAGATGTTGCCCCTGTGTTAAGTTTCAGTTTGGCTTTGAGATACATGGAAGGGCTGAAGGGCTAGAATGTTTGCAAAAACTGTTAGATATCTCACTTGTTGAGAGAACAGGAAGAGGAAATGAGGATACTTGTACTTTTTTCCCTTGCCTTGTTCTCAGAAACCTGAAGGGAAGATACCTGATGCAGGAAATTTCAGCCTGGTCAATTACAGTTTGACTTTTAAAGAAGTCGACAGCAAATTTCTACAAAGGAAAGCAAGATTAACAGCTCCAGGTAGCACTGACAATACTGCCTAATAAACCCACAAACCAGTAGTAAAGCTGTGATGCTCTAAACTAAAAAGAACTTTGCTTAAATACTGCACTTTTCTTACAGGTTCTTAATAACTCAGTTTTTGCTGGCTGGTAAAAATTAATTAGGCCACGTTTTTTAATCTGATGACTTTTGTAGTAAAGCAAATGTAGATGCTGAAAAGGGAAAGTTTAGGAAAGGGTTGGAAAAGTTTGATAGATAACATTGTGACAGTACTTTGTAGTAAATCTGTAACTTAGCTGTCACTTAGCAGTTACTCAGGGATGAATAGTTAGTTATCTGTGAACAGTAGGTCATTGTCTGCCTATAATTATAATCAGTTTATGGTTTCAAAACAAGACCAACTTTTCACCCACCATGAGATCTGTAGTTCTGCGTGAACTTAAACAGGGTAACTTTCTAGCAACTAAGTAAACTGAGCAAAACCAGATGCAGTTATAGTAACACACAGAAACATCAGCATTCAGTACCAATTTGCAGAGAAAGTATGAAATAGTGTAATAAAGTTCCTTCAGGGGTTATGTTTTTCCAACTTAGGTTGCCATGAAGCTGGTACAAAGAGGGAAAAAAATGAAACAGCCCAAAAGAGACACCATGGAAAATAATGAAGTAGAAGCTCAGCACAGATGCTCAGAGTGTGGAATGGTGTTCCAGCGGCGCTATGCACTTATAATGCACACACTGAAACATGAAAGAGCTAAAGATTATAAATGTCCAGTAAGTTGAAGGTTTCTTGTTTATAAACCTCCCTCTTCATGAAAATTCATTCAGTAACAACATTAGTAATTATTTTTCTTATATTGTTTTGATACCTGTATTTATTTTCCTCACAGATTTCAGGGACAAATGTGGCCGTGATCTGCATGGGGTGGGGTAAAATGTGGTGCAGCCAGATGGCCTCACAGCACCGTATGATGTGGGAGTATACTTGCTGCTCAAGACAGTGCTGGTGTGGGCATTACTTTTAACCTTACCAATAAATATACAATTGTGTTTAGATTAGCCTAGAAGTTAGCCTCCCTGGGAAGCAATCAGTGGTTCTGTCAGTAGCCATTACAACTATTAATTAACCTGAGATAAAATGCCAGTTGGAGTCAGGTCATAGGCCTAGCTAATTGTGTTAATATACTTAAAACCTTTGAATACCTTTTTTAATAATTTTTGAATATTATATGTGAAGTAAAGTTGTAATATTTTCTTCACAGTTGTGCAAGAAAGAATTCCAGTACGGTGCCTCACTGCGAGCACATCTTGTCCGGCACACTCGGAAGACTGAAGTGAACACTTCTGCTTCCAGTGCAGAAGAGACAGGCGCGTCTTCTGTGAAAGGGAGAACTAAACGGGAGTTTATATGTGATATATGTGGGAGAACTCTACCTAAGCTCTATTCTCTCAGAATACATATGCTCAAACATACAGGTGTAAAACCACATGCATGCAAGGTAATGAGAAAGTCCTTTTACTCTCTGATCAGATTAGTAATGTTTTCTTGCTATTTTAGTATTGACACCATGTCCTAAAATTTAGATTAATTTAGATAACTTCAGAATGCATTCCTGATAAAAATTCGTGTAGTCCAAGAGTGAGAAAACTAGAATGAAATTGAATCAAGAAAGTTCATACTTCTGTATCTAGAAGAGTGTCTGCAAAATCTGGTGCAAAATCATAGGTTTGGATGTCCTGATTCCCAAGAAATACAGGATGTTTTGTTGTGTTTAAACACCTATTACAAAATATGTTTGTTTGGTTTGGGGATTTTTTGGGGTGTTGTTTTTTTTTTTTGTCATCCTATTTCACTGGATATGGATTTTTTTTTTTGATTTTTTTTTTTTTTTTTTTAGGTTTGTGGAAAGACCTTTACATATAAGCATGGATTAAAAATGCACTTGGCTCTCCATGAAGTACAGAAACAGTTCAAGTGCGACTTGTGTGAAAAGTCTTTTGTCACAAAAAGAAGTCTTCAGGAGCACATGAGCATTCACACAGGTAAGTGATGGGAAAGAAGACCCTTCTACTTTGGTTGGCTATTGCATGCTGCTGAACATTAACAGTGCTCTTCAGTGACAAAGGAACTGTTTGAAAAAATAAATAGTAGTTTCTCCTTTTTCTTTACTGTTCAGACAGCTGAAATAAAGGTAAGTGGTCATGTTACATTTGTTTTCTGGCTTATTTTACCTTAGCTTAATGTTATTATGCAGATGTTCTACACAAGAACAGGGAATCATGGTTGGTCTGTCCCTATGTTTTTATGTACATATTAAATGCCTCTGTCATTTCAATCAGACAAAGATAGGCAACAGGCTGGAATATTCTCGGGCACTTAGTTTCAGCCTATCCTTTCAGAGGAAAACATGCCAAGTTTAATCTCTCAGAATCTCCATATATATTTTTATGAGATTTCCTGTACTAATACTGACATTTTATCAAACCTGGTACCTTGAAAGATCTTAACATGTGAAAGATGACAGTAATTTAATACAAGCAGAGTTTTGAAATTGTAATATGTAGGAAATGTCTTTGTTTCTTGCTTCTGTGAGTTGGGCAGAATTAACAGTAAGAGACTTTTTGTTAAGATAATTTGTTCCAGAAATGAAGGAATTTATACTAGTACTTAGCATTTGGAAACGGATGAGTTGTAGCAGAAAACTTTTAAGGTGGTGTGCCACAAATTCAGGATGCAGGCCATCCGTAACCAATACTGCGTTGCTGGAGAAGTTGCATATTATATGAACACAGGCAGTTGGTTTTTTTTCCACACAAGAGGGCATTTTTTTAGGCTGTTCACACTCCTTGAGCAATTAGGTAGCTGCAGTGTTGTACCTGTAGTTAAAAATGCGCAATAAAGTAATTGCCTGTAGTATGGGCAGCAAATGAGGAATTAGAGATGTGTGCATGTCTATGGGGGATAAGATATGATAGGTATCACAGAAATATGGTGGGATGGCTCCTATGACTGGAGTGTTGGAAGGGAAGGTTACAGGCTCTTTAGAAAAGCCAGGCCCAGAAGATGGGGAGGGGGAGTTGCTATTTATGTTAGGGATAGGCTGGAGAGTATGGAACTCTGTCTGGGGACAGGTGAGCAGTCAACAGAGAGCTTGTGGGTCAGGGTTAAAAGGAGAACAGCTATGGGAGACATTACTGTGGGGATCTGTTACAGACCACCTGATTAAGAGGACTCTGTGAATGAAGCGCTCTATACACAGATAGGAACAGCCTCACAGTCGCAGGCCTTTGTCCTCATGGGGGACTTCAGCCATCCTGATATCTGTTGGAGTGATGGTACGGCCCAGCACAAGCAATCCAGGAGGTTCCTCGATTGTCCGAAAGACAACTTCCTTCTTCAAGTAATGGAGGAGCCAACAAGGAGAGGTGCCATGCTTGACCAGCTGGAGGCGCTCACCAACAGGGAAGGGCTGGTTGGAAATGTGATGCTCCAGGGCAGCCTTGGATGCAGCGATCACGAGATGGTCAAATTTGAGATCCTCAGGACAGTGAGAAGAGCGTGCAGCAAGCTCACTGCCCTGGACTTCAAGAGAGCAGACTTTGGCCTCTTCAGGAACCTGCTTAGTAAGGTCCCATGGGATATAGCCCTAGAGGGCAGGGGGGCCCAAGGCTGTTGGTTGATATTCAAGGATCACCTGCTACAAGCTCAGGAGTGTTGCATCCCAACTAGAAGGAAGAGCAGCAGGAGGGCCAGGAGACCTCCTTGAATGGATAAAGAGCTGCTGAGGAAACTTTGAGGGGAAAACAGAGGCTTCTAAAAGGTGGAAGAAAGGACAGGCAGCCTGGGAAGAATGCAGGGATGTTGTCCGGGAAACTAGGGACCAGGTTAGGAAAGCTAAGGCCCAGCTAGAATTAAACTTGGCTAGGGACGTTAAGGATAACAGGAAGGGATTCTATAGGTATGTCGCAAATAAAAGACCGACTAGAGACAATGTCGGCCCCCTCCAGAAGCTATAGAGAGAAATGGCTGCCCTGGATTTGGAGAAGGCGGAGGTTCCTAATGACTTCTTTTCCCCAGTCTTCACTGGCAGAGGCTCTGACCACACCACCCAAGTCTTGGAAGGGAGATGCAGGGACTGTGAGAGTGAAGACCTTAAGCCCACTGTAGGTGAGCATCTGGTTCTAGACCATCTTAAGAACCTGAATGTGCACAAGTCCATGGGACTTGATGAAATCCATCTGTGGGTCCTGAATGAGCTGGCAAATGAAGTTACTAAACCACTGTCCATTGAAAAATTATGGCAGTCAGGTGAAATTCCCGATGATGGGGAAAAAGGGAAATATAACCCCCATTTTCAAGAAGGGGAAAATGGATGACCCAGGGAACTACAGACCAGTCAGTCTCACCTCTGTGCCTGGCAAAATCTTGGAGCACATTCTCCTGGAAGTCAAGCTAAGGCACATGAAAAACAACAAGGTGCTTGGTGACAACCAGCATGGCTTCACTAAGGGGAAATCCTGTCTGACCAATTTGGTGGTTCTGTGAAGAGGCTACGGAACTGATGGACAGGGGTAGAGCAGTTGATGTCATCTACCTGGACTTGTGTAAAGCGTTTGACACTGTCCCACATGACATCCTTGTCTCTAAATTGGAGAGACATCAATTTGATGGATGGATCCACTCGGTGGATAAAGAACTGGCTGGATGGCCGCACACGAAGAGTTGTGGTCAATGGCTCAATGTCCAGCTGGAGACCAGTAATGAGTGGTGTCCCTCGGGGATCGGTGTTGGGACCGGTCTTGTTCAACATCTTTGTCAGTGACATGGACAGTGGGATTGAGTGTGCCCTCAGCAAGTTTGCCAATGACACCAAGCTGTGTGGTTCGGTTGATATGCTGGAGGGAAGGAATGCCATCCAGAGGGACCTTGACACGCTTGTGCGGTGGGCTGATGCCAACCTTATGAAGTTTAACCATGCCAAGTGCAAGGTCCTACACCTGGGTCAGAGCAATCCCAGGCACAGCTACAGGTTGGGCAGAGAAGAGATTCAGAGCAGCCCTGTGGAGAAGGACTTGGGGGTGTTGGTTGATGAGAAAATGAACATGAGCTGGCAGTGTGCGCTTGCAGCCCAGAATCATATCCTGGGCTGCATCAAAAGGAGTGTGACCAGCAGGTCTAAGGAGGTGATCCTGCCCCTCTGCTCTCGTGAGACCTCACTTGGAATATTGTGTGCGGTTCTGGTGCTCTGAACATAAAAAATGACATGGAACTGTTGGAACAAGTCCAGAGAAGGGCCACGAGGATGATCAGGGGACTGGAGCAGTACAAGGGGTAACGGGTTAAAACTTAAAACAGGGGAAGTTTAGATTGGCTATAAGGAAGAAGTTCTTTACTGTGTGTTGAGGCACTGGAATGAGTTGCCCAAGGAGGTTGTGAATGCTCCATCCCTGGCTGTGTTCAAGGCCAGGTTGGTATTCAACCCCCTCCATGGCAGGGGGAATGGAACTTAAGGTCCTTTCCAACCCTAATGATTCTGTGATTCTATGATTCTAATTTACAGGTGCTGCTTCCCCCTCTATGTATTACATTGGCACATGCAAAATGCACTTAAAAATTCCATATGTGTGTAAGTAAACCAATATATCTTTGTAACACAGGTACTTAGAGAAATTATATGAGAAGAAGAAAAAACAGTCTCGCAAAGCACTCTGAGGATATGGAGGCCTGGCTTTTTAACGTGTTTTGTTTTGTTTTTGTTAGGCGAATCCAAGTATCTTTGCTCCATCTGTGGAAAATCTTTTCACAGGGCATCAGGACTCAGTAAACATATAAAGAAACACCAGCCAAAGCCTGAAGTTCGTGGATATCAGTGTACTCAGTAAGTTGGTTGGTGGTATTTTTGGTGGGTTATTTTTTTCTTGCCATTAATGATCCCAGTAATGTTAAAGATTAAAGTGGCTCCTTGTTGTAGCATGAAAGTGTTCACTGGGCTGGAATAAGACTTTTGAAGCATAATATAAAAAAAATTCACTTTTGTTAGTACATGAACTGGAAAGGAAAAGCCTTTTTTTTAAAACTGTTACCTAGCTCTAGTTTCATACACTTGTTTTCTACTGAGTGTGTTTGCACTTGTAGCTGTAATCAGTCGTGATGTGATTTTAGAGCTCCTGTGTTGGACAGATAGGTAGGTAAGGTCATAGGCATTGCAAGAAGGGTTCTTGCCACCTTTTAATGTGATAGCTGGTTTCAGTTTAATTTGAAAATTTCCTGTGCAATCTAGATAATATGCAATTTACACTTGTTTAGTGAACAGCATAAATTAAGACTCACTGACAACTGCAGTTAGCTTGATCATAAATGCATCCACCAGTGCTATATGGTACTATGTGATGAACAGGTGCAGATGGTGAGGCAAAGACATCTGAAGAACAGAATCCCTTTCAAAGGGAGAAAGCATGTCTTTAATTTGACTGACCTCTGTAGTTTCCATACGAAGATGAGCTAGTGATTTGTAATTTCACATAGTTGTACTATGTCAAGGTAGAAATGAAGGAAAACTAGTTCACCTGGATTTAGATGTATGCAAGCAGCAAGCTAAAGAATGAGTATCACTAGTTTTGGATGCTTGCTTGTAGGATTCTGAGTTTGATTTTTCATTTCTAAAAAAAACTTTTGAGCATTTCAAACAACAGATCCCAATTATCTTTATCAATAATTAATCCTCACTGGTTAAGGGAAGAAACAGCTGCTACCATAGGATCTTATGAGGACCGTATAATACAAATTTCTGATGTCTTCCAGTTGGTTTGCCTTTCATTATTCCTCATAAAAATAACAAGAAGAATATAGTTACCTGTAACAGACAAAAGCGTTTCGGGAGTCCTCAAGTTATATGCTAGACTTTCAGATAAGCTGCTGTTCCTTTTAATTTTCCATAGTTTGGAAAGAGATCGTGCTGATGATGCAATCATTGTTGTCTTCTCAATGGCTTCAGTTGCCATTAAAGAAGAGGGTTCCGGTGCCTTTGAAATCAGGATCACCAAGATCTATCTTATATAGGATGCTAAAACCTTTACTGTTACAGGTGTGAAAAGAGTTTCTATGAAGCCCGAGATCTTCGGCAGCATATGAACAAACACTTAGGTGTGAAGCCATTTCAGTGCCAGTTCTGTGGAAAATGTTACAGCTGGAAGAAAGACTGGTATTCTCATGTCAAGTCTCATTCTGTCACAGACCCTTATAGGTAAGAGAAAATTCATTTAACAATGTTAAGTTGTTATACAGAACTACAGCCAGTCAACAAGGAACTTCTAGTCCTTTGTTAAAGTACCAATTGATTGATGTTGACTGGGGTCTTGAGTACTTGAGAATGGATGGGTGACTTCAGATAGTGTGGTCCAACTATTAACCTGCTGGTACAGTCCTAGAACTAATACATACGAAATTGTAAGAGAGTAAATATAATTAAGTTAGAAATGCTTTATATGTGATCTCACTTTTCTAGAATGGTAAGTAGAAGCTTTGTGGCTGTAGCTCCATCCAGCAAGATTATTTCTGATTACAGAACATAATTTAGTGGGACAGTGTTCCCATAAAACTTTGTCTACTGTAATTAAAGTGCATTTTAAAAAGCGTAACATAAGCATAGCATAATGGTTTCAATAGATTTCTCAACACTTTTTAGGTGTAATATATGTGGTAAAGAATTTTATGAGAAAGCTTTGTACAGAAGACATGTAAAGAAAGCCACACATGGTAAAAAAGGAAGAGCAAAACAAAATCTGGAACGAGTTTGTGAGCATTGTGGAAGAAAATTCACGCAGCTCCGGGAATATAGGAGACACATGAACAATCATGAAGGTATGTAGAAAACAAATAGCCATGACATCCCCCAATCCCTGAAAACACGGAGAAAGGGGTAATTGTTTCTTGTAGTCTATGTATGTCTTGTGTTGCAAGAAGCTTGGAAGTTTGAACAGATTTAAAGCAGTTCTAACAGTTTTATGCTTATCCTGGTTAGTTAGCTTGCTTCCAGTGATTCCCAGAAGTTGGGATCTTTCTAAAGCTGCAGTTGCACACAGGGACAGTGACAATTTGTCCTTCTTAGAACTTTTAAGAGGGACTGTTTTAGAAGTGATTAAAGGATGTATATCTGGCAAAGAATTGGATGAGTAAAACGTTCCCCAGTTTAAAAGGTGCATATAGCTAATAAAATATTCTTCAAACAGCAGCATGATTGGCCTGAATTTAACAAAAGGACCACTGTTGGAAATTGGCCAACTTCTTGATTTATAAGAAGCAGCAAACTATGTGATGTTTGGGGAAAATATGAAAACACTTGATAATTAAAAAAAAAAAAAAGTGTGCATTTTTACTTTAGATGTGAAGTATGATATTTGAGTATTTGGTTGTTCCAGCTGTGTTGGAAGTCTAGATACACTCCCATCTCAGGGGAAAAAAACCCCACTTTTATGAAGCATGTGTCCTTTTAAGGAGCTGTTATGAGTAAATCTAATAGCTGTCTTGCTATTGAAATAGAGATTTTGTGTTTGTTCATAAACAGAGAGTGTCCTGTAATAGATACCTAGCCTAAGTCCACAGTAACTGTTATAGAGGAAAAGCTATCACTGAAATAGTTTGTCACCACCCACATGCCTCGTTAGATACTGCAGACCACAGAGCTCAGACCTGATAAGGGAGAATAAAATGATACAAGTATCAGGTGCAGTATCTGAACATACGTGCTGTGGAGGAGGAGGGGAAAAAACTGTAGGTGGAAATAACTAAAATAAGTGCTGGTGTTTGATGAGAGGTTATAGAAACATTTCTAGTCACCTTTTGGTTCTGTAAATCTAAGTGCCAAATTCCATGAAGTAAAACATGATTTCAGAAAGCCATCACTGGCAAAAAATAACTAGAATTTCATTAAGTGGTATGCACTTAAAATAGGTGAGAAGCTGCACTAAGAAGAATTTTGAAAAGAGAAAATTTTTAGAAGTAAAAGGTTAGATTGAGCAGAGCACTTGTGGAAAATTTTTCCACTGAATGTAAGATTTTGTGCTTGCATTATATTGTAGCATAGAAATGGCAAACAAGTTCTCCTGCTTACATGGAAAAAGTGAAAGGATTTCTTCTATCCTTTTATACTGCTGTTTTCCTGTTGCTTCTTATCAACACTCATGTTTTTATGAACTCCTGACAGTGGGCTTTTCCTTGCTTTCCCTTTGAGAGCAGGTGTGAAGCCATTTGAATGTCTCACCTGTGGAGTAGCCTGGGCAGATGCGCGTTCACTGAAGCGCCACGTGAGGACACATACCGGGGAGCGACCGTATGTCTGCCCAGTGTGCAATGAAGCTTACATTGATGCCCGGACACTACGGAAGCACATGACCAAGTTTCACAGGGACTATGTACCCTGCAAAATCATGCTGGAAAAAGATACTCTTCAGTTTCATAACCAGGGGACACAGGTGGAGCACGCCATCAGCATTTTGGCAGCAGACATGCAGGAACGAGAAACCGAGATCAGTGTTGGTGGTAGTGAGATTGAGACTGTGGTAGTGACAGGAGAGACACTGGAAGCCATCGAAGCAGTTGCAGCTACTGAGGAATGCACATCAGTCTCTACTCTTTCTGACCAAAGCATCATGCAGGTGGTAAATTATGTATTAGCACAACAGCAAGGACAGAAAATGGCTGAAGTGATGCAGGGCATCGAAACTGTAGAAGTGGAAGTGGCCCATGTTACAAAGACAGACTGAATATAGTGTACAAGAGAGCAAAGAAGGGTGAGGTCTTACGATCTGTGAGAGCCAAGTATTTAACTGGTTATCCAAGGCTTACCATGAGGCCTGTTTTCAAATGGTTAATCCCCAGTGCTGAACATCTTGGTGATGAAATACTGCACCATGGGGAAAATGTTAAGATGCTTCAGTGTGAGCCAAGGCTCGGAAAGCTAGGATTTCTATACTGGCTGTAAGTATGAAAATAAAAATAATGTTTTCTGTGTCATGGACTAAGTATTGTGCTGAAACTTTTAAAAAATGAAAAAAACATTTAAAGAGCCTGCACTAAATATTAGAAATGCACAGTTACTGGTGTCTTTTTTTTCTACTTCTGTTTTTATGTGCATTTCATCAAGTTTGTGAGCATATTGCCTGTACTGGATGCTGTCTGTTTACTCCCCAAGACACAGGGATGGCAGAATGCTTCATGCAGTGTGAGCTTCATGCAATATACAGAAAACCCGAGGCTTTCCTTTGGGTAGATGCACCAGTGGCAGTGTGAATTCCATTTTTTAAGAACTTATTTAAATTCCAGGTTGTGGGTGGCAGGTCCAAGGTTCAGTATGACGTTTTGCAGATAATGGGCAGGGGTCTACTGAAACCTGAGGAAGTGGTTTTCTGGGACAGACTCTGAGTTTCCATTGACCAGAGGACAGCCCGCTGCAGCAACACTGCTTAGAGAAGTGAACTGCTTTTTATTTGTGAGCAAGGTACTTACACTTCAGCCTCTGTGCATAACCATGTTCAGTTTAATGACACCTGGTTGCATAAACAAAATTATCATCTGCATTGTTGTAGGTATCCAGAGGATACAATCTAATGATGGATGTTTCTGATTTTGCATTATATTTAATATAGAGACTCTCAAATTAAAAAGATCTAATGGTTCCTACCTGGACTTCTTTGGTATATTTATATTCACATCTTGTATTGAAAGGAGGACCCCTGCTAATTCCCAAATGGAACATGTAGCAATATCAGGATAGAGAACTATGAAAATGCTAATATGGGATAAAAATCCAATTTGTCTCAAAATTACCAGTGTCCAGAAGACCTTATTGCTGCTGCTGTAAGAAAATACTTCTAGGACAAGCTAATTACCCAGTGCTACATCACATAGAGGGAAAAATTCTCACGGGGTGTTCCTGTGAGTAAGCATGAATCACAGCCTTGCTTGGCCCAAGTTTAAATGCCCCTGATATAATACCACAAACAGTGCATATCTAAATCTGTACAAGGTGTGTATTCCTTCATAGCTGGTTGCTTGGGTGTTTATGCAAGCAGCATATCTGTCAGGGTAACTGAAGGTGCTATGCACATGAACAAACAAGTGTATTTTTTAACTTGTTCTTAGTCTGTAGTATTATCAGATGTTTTGCAGCTTTGACAGCAGCAAGGTACCCAAGGAGCCAGAAGCCTGTGATACTGTAGGATGAACATGCATATAACTGTTCTACCCATGAAATGGATCCACTGAGCAAAAGTGAAGCAAACCCTATGAGGAAGCAACCGCCTCATTTGAATTAATATTTCTACCTTTCATGTAACTATTTCAGTACCTGTCTACTAAGTTACAGAAGGGACTGTACTTTTTATACTTTGCAAGCATGTAGATAAGCAGTTGTTGAAAACTTTTTAAGCAATATGCAGCTGGAGTTCCTGTCTGGAGTCCAAATTAATCTGTAGATGACCATTTCAAAGGTCACGGTCTTCCTGCAGGGAAGTAGTTATTTATGCATCCTGCAGCCCTTGACAATTGTGTTCTTTTCTAATTACCTAATGGAGTAAAATTAAAATGATTAATGATAAAATACAAATACTGCTAGCTCTGACTCTTGAATTTTTGTATGCACAAGAATCTGGAGACAGCCATCCTGCTTAAATTAAACTACTGCCATTATGATGAAAATATTTAAAAGAGCACTAGGTAAACTTCAAAGCTTACTTCAGTGTTTGTATCTTACAAATAATTATGTATTACTGAAGTGAGGAAATGTTCAAGGAAAAAGAGCTGTAAATAGTGCTGGAACATTATTTGTGTATTTACTGTGTTACCTTACAAAAGGAATATTACCGGCACCTTAATGGAATTTTTGGTGCGTTTATTTATTTGCCCAACCTATGGAAGAAGCTGAAGTGAATCTGAATTTCACAATCTTGTTTACCTACTGTAAAAAAGCTTTTTTAACTGATGTGATGGCCTGCCATTTGACAACTATAATAACAATAACTAACCAAACAAATCACAACTAATCTTGTTTCCTAAGCAAGACTCAGCCAGGAATGTCAAAGCTGACTGTTGTGGCACTCCTTTCCTAGCACAGTGTGCCTTACCCTTTCAGAACAGCACGGGGTAAGTAGGGAGTGTCGCTCTTCACTTTGCTGTTCCCATCCGTGTGAAGTTGCCTTATGTTTTCCTTTGAACTTCAGCTCGTAAATTAAGATATTCACTACTCTTCTGCAATCTCTCTGAAGTCAGGCTGCAAATACGCAATTAATATTATTTAATTTTGTTAAAAAACAATAAAGTTCATGTGAAATGTCCATTTATAAAGTATTCCTGGTGAATTCCTGTACATAATGAATTTGATTTGTACATTCTGCTGTTTTTATTTAGTGTTAGATGTATAAAGTTATGGTTATTTCTAAGTCATTAAATAAATTGAGCTTTGCCAGGAATTACTCTTTCAAGCAATTTTTTTTTGATAGGAAAAGAGTGTTACAAAATTATTTACTTCTCAAGTATTTACCTAGATAATGTCTGGTCTGAACAGGTATAGTAACACCTGCTTTTCAATTTTTGCTTAAGGCTCAAACCATTAACTTGTATGAGGAAAGGAAACCTGCTGCCCTCCTAAATTGTATCAGACCATGGCTATACAAGAGCATGATGTTAACCAAACACATCCTGAAATCACTTTGGCTGCCAGACCTTTTAGTGGATTATGTGACCCTGCTACCCAGCTATACCCAGTTTAGTTTGCTTCATATGTTATTTCTCTTGGCTTGGGTTTCTGCACAAGTCTGCCACCATACAGCACTTATCTTGAGATGGATATTTGAGCAGACAGGAGCTGTGGCCTAGAAGCTGTCCTCCAGCATCATTCTCCTGACTGAAAGATGAGCTGTACAGCTGCCTTCAGCCAGGGGAAGGAACAGTGTCCTGTGCTTTTCTGTTTGCTGTTAGAGCAACTTTAAGACAAAGTTATTGTTGCAGAAAGGCTGATAACTGTTTTGTGGCTCATTCTGATTCCTAGGGGAAATGCTGGGAGCGTTTTAGCCACAGAGGTAACCAAGCTAATTGGGAAATGTATAATTAAATAAAAACAGGGGTTTCAAAAGGTAGGGTGCTGAAGAAGTAATGTAGCCTACCACTTAACAACTGTTCAACACAGATGCAACTACAGATGAAAAACAGCAAAAAGGGAAGTGTGGATAATTCCCCCCCCCCCCCCCCCCCCCGACTTTGTTTTCACTAGAGACAGGATCATAAAGGAAGAGCCGTGAATTTCTATAGCACTGGAAGTATGTATACATCTAATATGATAACAAGGGCCAGTCTTACAGCTGCTGCTGACCACATGGTGGGAGCCTAGCACTGCTAGCAAATCTAAGTCTTTACTAGAGACCTGTTCTCCAGCAAAAGCATTCCATTTTTAGAAGGCAAGAGGCTGTAGGGCTGGTGGAAAGCAGGCTTACAGGTCCAGAGTGACTTTGAAAGGACTTTTCAGAAAACAACTGTTTATCTTGCAACTGCATGAGGAAGTTTTATGATGAGGGCAGTATTTCTTGTCTTGGATAAAGCACCCTGCCTTACAGACAGTAATATCAGTGTTAACTTACTCAATGCTTTTATATGTGCTGTAGCCCAAGATCTTCCTGTTGCAGCCCTAAATTTTATATGTGAACATGACCATCTTAAGCATGCATCTGAGTAAGAAAAACAAAGCACAGCCTAAGATCCATGCCAGTTTTGCAATTACTCTTTGTGCTTGCTACTCTGTTCAGTGCCTGCAACTCTGTACAGTGGAGGTTGATGTCCATTTGAACATGGATGGCTACCCCACACTCCTTTCACAAAAGCAAAGGCAGAATTATGATTTTCAAACAAGTTACTGGGCATCAGCCAACACTTCATATGCAACTGCTGTGTTTACAGATTATGGGAAGCTGGGGGGGGGGGGGGGGGGGGGAAGGAGAGATAGTTATGTTTTTGACTTCCATTACCTTAGGTTAATAAACTTGTACTGCAAGGAAAACATAAACACAGGCTCATGTCAAAAAGTTTCAGCTGAGCTCTTACTACAGAACCACAACACTTCATTTGTCCACCTGTCTCACTGGGAAATTAAATCCCAGGAACCAAATTTAAGAACTAAGTCACAAGCATAGCAAAAGCTTTTAAGACCTTGCTATGTGCCATTGAATCAAAAAATCCATACTGTGATTGCTGGCTGTCAGAGTCGCTGCCATGCTTCCCTGCTCCTCCTGGCCTGAAGAGTAGCTGTCATACATGTGTGTACCACAAAAAGCACATGCTGCAGAGTTTAAGGGTTTGCTTTGGTACCTAAACCTTGCTTGGACTCTCACCACTTCAGTCTTTTAAATGGAAGTTTATAACCCAAAATGTAACACACTAAACACAGAATTCAAGTGTAATAGTTTATGCTTCATGCTTTTACTCCTATGGGTAACGATGCATCTACCCTGAGGCAATGGCTTCACATCATTAAACACAGCAGCTCTCCTAATTCAGCACTACTTAGTTACTAAGATGCCAACAGATCAAAATTAGAGAACAGTAAGAGATCCATTTGTTAATAAAACTAGAGGAAACAAGGAAGGTGTTAACAGGATAAAGTAAAAAGTAAATTAATTGTCCAATTCTTACAGCATTCTAGTATCTCTTGGCAGAGGAAGTAAGACAAATTATGGTGAGTTTGGAACGCAGCTTTCCCTTCTGTAGCTTAAGGGCAGAACTACTCAGCATCCCTCAGTTTGTAACCTTATAATGAATTAAAACAACCCAACCTCTTCGTGCAGAAAACCTTTTAAGGCTACTAACTACAAAGATAAAAAGCCTTCTGGAAATTCGATTGCTTTTCCAGATTTCTCATCTCGTGGCAGCCTACAAAGAGTTCTAGTTGCAACAGTGACTGCCTATAGTTTAAAACCTGTTTGGCTCTTCAGAAAGCAGAAGAGATCATTTTCTTGAAAGCTGACGTGTCCTCCGTATCTCCTCACAAAGCCAGCTTTGGTAAAGCCACCCCTGGCACACTCATGTCAGTTCTGACAAAGGGTGCTCCACAAAGCTGGCAGAGGCAGAGATGAAGTACAACCGGCCTGAAGGCAGCTGTGGCTGCTGCTGTGCTGGTCACATTAAGACACTGTAGTTGGTTATGTCAAAGTTGGCTGAATACCAATAGTTTTCAGGTCATCTATGACAGGGGAGTAAGCCCATTAAATTATAATAGCATCCATCAGTTACTTTGCAGATAGGCTGGTTGGGAACTTCTTCCTGCTGATCAAATATTGACCTGGAAAATCTGCACAGTGTACCCCCTAAACTTTAAAATGAATGAAATGAAGTGTGCAAGGGGCTCCACCCAGAAGTGTCTGACACACTGCCGTCAGTGGCTGGCAGCACTGGTTTGGGAATTATTTACTTACATTATTTTAATACAGTTAGCATGGAGTTTGGCTCCATTCGCAGCCCAGCAGGCTCAAAAGCAGCCTAGCTACAGGGTAACACAGAGAAGGTTACTGCCTAACTACTTACATCTTCATCTAATATCTTGCATGTTTTGCAAGCTGCTCAGGTGCTAAGCAAAGCTTTAGTGCTAAGAAAGCATAAGTCTTCTGAGGTAAACCTGCACAAGTTAAATGGGCAGACATTTCAACCACTGCTAGATATACACTTGCTGTGCTAAACAGGTAAAGGTCTCAGCAGATCTCCTGGAAGCACTTAAGATAGCTAAACCAAGCAGCCTACCCTGAGGTTTAGAATTTTTGAGTCACCTTAGAAAAAAAAAAAATAACACACACAAGACCACCTTCATGCAAAACCCACGGTTACTATAACAAAAGCCTGAAACTTCAAGTGAAATTGTAGCTAACATGTGCCTTGATGACACTTTTCCAATCAGTTCTTTCCTGCAAGCATCAGACATTAAACACCATCCTTGTAGCTGTAAGATAAGCTTGTGAGATACTTGGTCCTGAGTGGACTGAGGCCATCCTGATGGATTTTCTTCACAAAGCACTGAGGAACAGAACTCACACACTGAGTGAGACAGGATCCCTACAGAGATGTAAAAGCTGCCAGTCTCTCACAAGGTCTAGGATTATTTATTGACCATGTCAGTAAGCAAGATAAATATAACTTTTACTCTCTTACTTGCATGGAAGGCATTTCCTAGCATGTCTGCTGCTCTGTCTAGCAACATCATAAAGGATTTTGAAGTACAGGAAATTATGTTAACAGGAACGTCTAACTTCAGCCAAAGATGTGGAAGGTGGTGGCAGTAGGCTGACTAAGAAAGAACAGGTCTCAGTCCTCCACTTATTCTTCCTCAAAGTTCTGTTTTGCTTTTTCCTAATACAAGTGACTAAGACAGCATCAAGCAACTACTAAGGAGCAAGATAAAATCGTTATTCACTGTGAATTACCACTATCTTAAAGGGATTTATTTTGACAAACATAATCACAGGTGATGAAAAGAAGTGAAAAGTAAAATGCTTCATTTTGCCTCGCCTAGTTCCAGTAATGCCCAAATCAGTTTTGGAAGTCCTGAAAGTCAGTTCTGAGAGTATGTTTTGTTTTTGTTCTAAATAAACCAAAGATTTCTGCTATGACAAAAAAAAAGTATTCATTTTTATGTTACGTTTATAACAAGTCTTTAAAAGAAAATAGTTACAGGTATTGAACAGCATCAGACTTCGAAAGAAAAAAGGTAACACGTACAATACAAAAATACAAAAAAATATTTTTTAGAACTTACAAACTCAAAAGTCTAAATAGTCAGAGTTTTCCTAAAATAATAATACTAAAACTAAAAAAAAAATACACTTCAAGATGCACTTTCCTTTCTGCACTCGCAGGTTCAACTTCAGCATTATGAAAGTTTTTAAAGGGAGAATGAAAGAAATTAACATACTGAATTCCATGACCAGTTCCAGGCTGGAATTAATTTAGTAGCTGGCACTATCAGGTATTTGAATTAAAAAAGAACTGTATGCTTGTTTGGAGAGAAGGGGTTGTTATTGCTGTTGATAACTTTCCGTTTAACTAGTTCTGCTTGTAAAATGGTTTAAAAATATACAATTAAATTAGACTGAAATTTATACACTTGTTACTAGGTTTGAAATCCTACAGCACCATTCTGCAGTATGACACCTAGGAAATTAAATTGAGCAAACTAATGTCATCGTTGACAAGTGCTACAAAAGGCAGGTGGGTAGGAAAAGGCTGAGCTTCAGTCCTGAAGTTGACTCTTGTTAGAAGCATTAGGACTGCAAATACAGCAATCTTCTCTAACCTGATAGTGTTCACTGTGGTCACCAGCATCAAGGCATATTTTTCAAATGGCAAAACAGGGAAAGTGCATCTTTTTGTTTTTTCATACTTAAGCAGTAAGTTACCGATTTTTGGTGTGGCTTTTATTCCTTCTAGGCATTTT